ATTCTATTAAATAGTATTTTTAAAGGTTGAATCATTTCATCTGACAAAGACTTATAATAGATTGCTGTCAAACCATCTGTACCAGGGGCTTTACCAGCTTTCAATTGTTTAATTGCATTTAAAATTTCATCTGCAGTAATCTCTTCATCCATAAGTTTCTGTTGATCTAATGTAAGTTTATATATAGATGAAGATTGTAAATATTTATCAATATCCTCAGTTTTTATAGTCCCAGAAGCATATAAGTATGAGTAGAACTCTGTAAATGCTTTTTTAATCAATTCTTGTTGATATACCTCACGACCCTTAACCACAACTTTAGATATAAGTCTGGCTTTTTGTCTTTTACGTAATTGGTAAGCCAACCATCTCCCTGGTTTATTTGCATTAGCAAATCTATTATGTTTAATATACTTCAAGTTGGCGGCCACCTGATCAGCAATTAACATATTAAATTGATCTTTAAGCATTTTAATAGAAGCCTTCAAGTTGATATCCGTTGGTCGCTGAGATAATAATTTTTCTTTGATCCCAATTGATTTAATCTTGTTGACCTAATCCGTTTCAGTTCCTGATCTATTCTGCTGTCTATTTGGAGATCTCTTTAGCCCAGTCAGATTTTATAACATATACATTGTTTTATGAATAAAACTTAGTTTCTTTAAGCTTTGCCTACAGGTTGTTTTAGTGGAGGAAAGAGTGGGGCTGCTTTCTGCCTTTGTTAAGGAGATTTTTCTCCTCTTCTCCTTTAGGGAAAATATTCTATTATGCTTCTTATTTTATTCTGGGGGGAATCCTTCCTACATTTGAGTTTTTGGTTTGTTTTCTTCTATTCTTTAATTTTTTGGGCTTTTTGCATTTTAATCTTTTTTTGAATAAAATAAAATTTTCAATTAAAAAAATCACTGGATATACAGTATACTCCTGATTGTTCCAAACTACCAATTTCTTGAATATTATGTCGTTATAATAGATTGTATTAAAAGACAAGGCACAGTTGTAACTGATTATATGGCTATTTTAATCCTGTAATTTGAAATTAGCCCTTATTATGTCTTCTCATGAGTTCCATATCTTGAGAATGTAGTTGCCAGAATTCCTATGGCCACATGGACTGAAAATTCTTGGGGTTTCAATCCTAACACATCAGAAAATCTTCAGGTTACAGTAAAATATGCAAATCATTTGAATGAGACATTACATAAGCACATTTCAGAAAATAGGTGGGGCTAGACCTAAAATAGAATTTGCTTTGCTTTAAAATTAAAGCGTTTTCAATGTAATTTTCAAATTAGCAATATTATTACATAGTACCTGGTGCAATTTGGGATAATATTCAATATGTTAAAAAGCCACTATTTGTGCTTTTTGGCTGAAATGGCTGAGAAGGGGAAGCATTGTAATATATTTTAATGCCTTAAGTTAAAATTTGATTAATTCTTATTGAGGAGTTCCATTGAACTTTGGAATTTTTCAATAACATAATGCACAGTGTTATTTTATAAAAAATATCAATTTGGATATTGAACAATTTGAACAATCTGACCTAGAATGTTCCATCACTAGAGATTTTGAAGTAAAGACTGGACAACCATTTGTCTGAATGGTATGAGGTTTCGTATTTGGGATTGGACTAGAATTCCAAGATCCTTTCCAATTCTTGGATTTTACAAAAAGCAGTATAAGACAATAGTGAATTTCAGTTCACTTTTTGAACTAAGAGTTCACAAATTGCATGTTAAAGGACAACATACTTGTACCAATATCTAGTTCTAATTGACAATTAGGAGGTTTAAATATGCCAATAAGCAAAGAAAATAACTGGTCTTTTGGTTTATGCTACAACAGAATCAGAATGTATGACAGTATTTCTGATTAATTTTAGATAAATATCTATTTATATATCTCTATATTAAAAACTGTAAACTTGATTCATGAAGAAAGAAACATCCTGCTATGAATCATTAACACTGGAACCTAACTTTTCAATTTCACTTCCATATAATCACTGGAATAGGATTATAAGAATAAGAAAGCAGGTACCATTTTGTAGTCAATTTGTCAAGTAATCAAGATGCTTGCTCATAGCAACTTCTAGATGCTTTGGATAAAAACCAAAACCAAAAGGTGTCCTCCAAGCAGACTTTAGCCATGAACTAGCAACTTCTAGATGTTTTGTTTTTTTCAAAAAGGAAGATAAAAAGTGCCCTTCAAGTTTTCCTTGACAAAAATTTTAAAACAATTTGGTATGCAGCTGTGGTTTCTTCTGAGTTGTTTTTCAACTTCTTAGCTACCTTCTCATAGTTTCCCATCAAAGAATTTATGTCTGAGCTTCTAAACTCTAACAAGATCAATCAAATACAGAGTAATTCCACCTGATCAGGCACAGCACTACAGATATATTAAGCTATAATTTTCACCTTCCATGAAATTATAGGGATATATATTTCTGTTTAGAGATATATTTATTCCTAAAATAGTTGTAAAACACACTAATATTTCCTGCATATTTTTGAGTGGGAGATAGAAATGTCTATAGGAACAATATGGATTATATTGACAAATGTAAATTACTTCCTTAGTTTTGCTGCCCAACCAAGAGCCTAAATTGCAAAGTCAAAGGAAAGCAACTCTTGCTGTAATTCACCATCACCCTATCCCTAGTTTTCTTCTGTTACATATAACCTATTTGAATTTTCCAGATGTTTCATTCCAGACTACTATAGGTAACATCTTCAGTGCTAAAAAGGAGTGGTGTTTGCTCCTGTTTTTATATATTTGCTGGTCCAGTCCGTGTTGGTGGGGGGGTTGTTTTCACCTTGATAGTTCCTCAGTTAGGCTACTTGATTGCTTGTCTGAGTTGGTAATTCTTTCATTAGGTTATTGTTTATTGCTTATGTTAATTGTGGTATTTTCTATTTATCTAAGTGTTGATTGTAGGGAAAGTGTTCTGGTATTTTTGTTTCTTTTCTAGCTTTTTTATTGTCTTTTGAATCCATGTGTAAATGTGCTTTATCTATATGTACCTATTAAGGGCTGATCGGTCTTTTGGTTTACTTAACATGTTTTGAAATTATGGGTTTCCTGATGTATAGTTGCCTATATTGCCTATGTTGTATAGGCAGTTTATCTCCTTTCTCTGGTGTTCTGCAGTGTGTTTGTGCTTGTCTGAATAATGTTCTTACACAGCTCCTCTTGGAGGAAGTTGGGTTGTTACTTTGGAAGTGGAACACTTGATTAGTTTTTGATAGACTTGTGTTTCAAATATGCCATTTCTTTTGCTGATGTGGATCTAGATAAGTTAGGGTTGCTTTCTTCTTCCTTGTGAATATCATTCCTTTGAAGATGTCATTTTGTTCTTTTTTATTATGACAAAGGTGTTGTCTACATAAGATCCATACTTTTGGTTGTATGTACGTGAGTACTGTAGTTTCTAGTCATTGCATTACAGTCTCTGCTACAGTCCCTGAGAGAGGGGATTGGCAGAGCTTGATGAAATCTGTGATACTGGGCATTTTGATTTTGATATATTTGATTAGATCTGGTGTGTTGTACAGTACTGCTGCCATGAACCACATTTCACTAGTTCTGGGTCTATAGATGTAAACAGTGACATTGAATGAAACCAAATGAAATATCTTAATTTGCAAAAAAAACAACAACCCTCAAGATTAATCTATAAAGCAATACCTGTATTTTTTTCTCCATGCTGTGAAAGACTGGGTAGGTATAACTCTTAAATATATATAGACATAGCAGAGTTGCAGCCAAACAGCAACGTCAAAGAGCAAATAGTACACAAAAATGAAAACATGCACTAGGGGAATCTTTAAATCTAATCAACTGGGGAGAAAATTTATTTGGTATTCTGCAGTTCCCTGGGTACTCAATACTATTTGCTTATTTGATGAATCTGTCTGTCTGTCCTCTCTCTCACACACACATCTTTTAAGTAGCAGCTGCTTTAAAAAAAAGTAAAATAACATAGCACAAGATGCGGAAGAAGGGCAGTATAACTTCTTTCTTCATTCCTTCGGCATTGTGCACATGCTCAGAGGCATTTTCTCACTGCATTTAACAGGAGCCGGATTCTTGTTGCTGTCCCCACCTGACTCTTTGTGCCTATTATCCGCCAGCGGACTCTCCTCTTTCCTTCGCTCCTTCTACCTTGTGGAGCCCCGTAAGGCACCTTAAGAGGATTCCGGGCGCTCGGAAAGCTTACTCTTACTGCTTACTGCACTTCCTCGTGGCATTAAAAGCGAACCCCGTGGGTCTCCAAAGCAAGTAATTCCTATTTGCCCCCCCCTCCTTCTTGAGGCAGCAGAGGCAGCGAACCAAATGTGTGTGTGCGCGCGCGTGTGCGTTTTTGAGGCCAACGTCCATGGCCAACCGGCCGTGGCAGGAGGGGAATTCGGCCAACCTCTGCCGGAAGCCCTGTCAAACACCCCAGCGGGGGACGTGGCCCTGGGAGCGACCGCTCGGCCCGGAGCCAGGCTCCTCCCACCTTGGCGACGTGTGTCTCGCAACGTGCTGAAGGGCGGGAAGTAAACAAGGCCCGGCCTTTCCTGGCCGCTCCCCCTCTGCCGGGCCTCCAGTGGCTTCCAGGAGGGCCTAGGCCTACGAAAGGGAGGAGGAAGCTTCCCAGAGCTGTGGCGCAGCAGGAATTCCCGCTCCAGCGCGGGCCGAGGAAAACGGGAGGGCGAAGGGGGGCGCTGTTTCTGCGGACCCGCCTCCCCGCCCGCATGAGGAACTGAGGAGGGGGCGGAAGCGGTCTCAGGACGGCGACGCCGGGGGGGCGGGGATGCCAGCGGCTATTTTTACTCGCTCGTCTCATCCTTTCTGGCTATTTGCTCGGAGGGGCGGCGGCAAAGCAGTGGCCGCAGTGTTTGCTCCCTAGCCCGGCCCCTGCAGCCTTCCTGGGTTGCTGTGAGCGCCGCTACCGCAACAGCCTATAAAGAGCCGAGGATGCAGCTCTACAGCACTAGCGTCACTCATTATCCGGCCGCGGCAGCAGCAGCAGCGGCGGCGGCGGCGGGAAGCGGCGCGTCCAGCGGGCCCGGTGTCGTTTTCAAAGTCTCTCCTTCGCCAGAGCCCGCGGGACAAAGCCCGGTAGGAATCGAGAGCGACGTCGGAGGTGGCGGAGGAGGGACCCCGAGTGCCGTCACAGCGGGAACAGCCACCACCATGCCGGCCTTCTCTTGCCTGGAACTGCTGCCTCCGGCCGGGCCCGTCCAGAGGAAGCCGCCGCAACAGCACCAGCAGCCGCAGTTATTTGACTCCACGGCACAAATGGCCCGCCGCCGGCACCTGGAGAGAATCATGCCCATCCGACTGCGGCAGCACTCGGAGTCCGTCGGAGCGGTGGGGGAGTTGGACCCGCAGAGTTCTACGAATGACCACCCGTGGCTGTTGCTGGAGAGCAGCGGGAGCGAAGTCGCGGCCGCCGCCCAGCCAACCTTGCAGCCGGAGCCTAGCAATCGCGGGCTCCGCTTCAACGAGCATTGCCAGGCCTTGCAAGCGGCGGCGGCAGCCGGCTCTTACTCGGGACTCGGAGTTGAGTCTCAGCCCGCCACCACGTTGAAAGTTGCCGAGGAGGCGAGCCCCAGCCAGTTGCGTCAGACGGAGCGGAGCGAAAAGCTGGCGCTGTACCTGGCCGAGGTGGAGAAGCAAGACAAGTACCTGCGGCACAAAGGTCGCTTCCGCTTCCATGTCATTCCCGACGGCAACTGTTTGTACCGCGCCGTCTGCAAAGCCATCAATGGGGACCAGCGGCTGCACAGGGACCTTCGCGAACAGACAGTGCACTACATCGCCGACCACCTGGAGCACTTCGCACCCATCATCGAAGGTGACGTGGGAGAGTTCCTCATCAACGCATCCCAGGACGGCGCCTGGGCTGGCTATCCTGAGCTTCTGGCCATGGGGCAAATGCTGAACGTCAATATCCACCTCACCACCGGAGGCAGATCCGAGAGCCCTACCATCTCCACCATGACCCATTACCTGGGCCCCGAGGATCCGAGCCGGGGCAGCATTTGGTTGAGCTGGCTTAGCAACGGCCACTATGATGCTGTGCTAGATCGTCAGTGTCCCAATCCAGAATATGAGGAGTGGTGCAGGAAGACTCAGGTGCAGCGCAGGAGGGATGAGGAGCTGGCCAAAACCATGGCAATGTCCTTGTCCAAGATGTACATTGAGCAGAATGCCTGTTCCTGAGAGAGGCATTGCATCCCTTGCCTGCTGTTCTGGTGCCTTAATTGTTCTCCATTTCTTTCTCTAGCAGTTGTAATTCGTACATGGAGCAAAAACCTGTAGAGAAGGAAGGGAGAGTGAGATTTAAAATGAATGCTTATCTATAGATTATCAGATACTAGTTATTTTCCTATCTTTTGTGTATATAATGTTTCTTTTATTTCTGTACACTCTGTTCTTTAAGAGAGGATATTTTTTCTTTTTGCACTTTTTCTAGTCTTTGTTTGCCACCAAAATAAAGTTTAATTTCATCCTTTGTTTGCCTACAGGTTTTTTTTCCTGGCCTATATGGCTGATAGCATAACAGTTATTTTATATTAATATCTGACACATTCACAGTATCATTCTTTCAATGAACAACTACATTGCTAGCCCACATTTTTGTCTTTCCTTGGTAGATGAAAATAAATTTTCGTTACCCTTTAAAAATATAATTTTAATACAAAATATTTACCTAGCAACTCTCAGAAAAAGTAACTGCTTCAGAGCAGGATTTCTTGAGATAATGTGGCTTCTTAGCAAAGGTTGAGAGCAGTTGGGCTTCTGGTTTCAGGTGGAGTAAGCTGGGTTTTCAGTTTGATTGATCTTTTTTGTTTGTTAATCACACAAACAATGTGGTTTTAACTTGCTCTTTTAGGAGTATAAATGCCTCCTGTCTGCCCCTTGGTAGTCCATCAGCAGGTTTATCACATTCTTTTGTTTCTAATTGGCTTAAGATGGTATTATGTACAAATATATTTATACTAAGTTTGTATGGTTTGCTGGGTCAAACATTCAAGGTAGAAACTACCCTCTTCAATTTTGAATGAACTGAAATGGTTAGATATATTTATTTAATGGAGTTTGTACTTTTTTATTTTGTGACTTTGGAATTTATACTGTATTTGTATAATAGCAATATTCTTAGCATTCTGGAATAAATGTATAGTTTTGCTTGGATCTGTGACATGTATCTGTGTGGGTGAAAACATCTGTCTTAAACTCAAGGTTTCTGGGTAGGCTGCAGAAAGGAAACAAAAACTCTTGGCAAAGCCTGATTTCTTCTCTGTACTTTGGCACTAGGCTTGCTACCTGATCCACATGAGGAATAGTGAATGGGAAAGAGCACATGAGGGTCAAGTGTGATGAAGATAGAGGTTGGAGTATCTCCATGATGCTTCTACTTTTTGAATAGTGGGGAAGGGGTTGAGAAGTCAAGACTTTATATGAACCATTTAATATATAACCAAGCTCCAAGGTCATAAACTGGTTAGAAGATAACATTACTCTTACATATGTTCATGGAAAAGTAACCTCTTGGTAGCAAGGGACCATATTTTTGGTGAAGGCAATGATGCAAAATCAACAGAGCTGGGATTTTTTATTTTTCTTCTAGGGGAAGAGGTGTTCACATAATTAAACTGAATTCAATTTATTTGAGCTTTACATTTTAGTGTGTTTTCCATTTCAAAATAATGTACTAATGATTGTAATTGCAGGACCTGCCTGTGGTGGTGGTGGGAGCAGAATGAATTACATATTGAGGCTATGTTAGATACCTAATACATATAGTGGAAGAGAAGTTTGGACCACAAAGTGGTAAAGATATAACTTTTTTACTACATATTGCAGGCCAGAAGACTCCCTTCCCATCATTCCCAAAGGCAACAGTTTACACATTTAATAGAACTTTTCTTGGTACTTCGAATTACAATATGATGCTGTAGTTCGTTGATCGCATACATAGAAATCAACTATTAAAATCAATCAAACATATTGAATAAGCATGGACAGGTAAGAACATGTTATAGACTAATCAGGAATTCCAGTAAAACAAATCTGGTTGTGCACTAATCAAATTGCAGAAACAACTTTTTATATGAAGTGTCATGATTAGTGGAATTAACTTGACATCAGGCTGCTCTGAATCAAATCCTATAAACTGATGTCCTAAAAATGAATAGAATTTGCCCAAGAATATGGAAGTGGAGTCTGCTTGTTCTACTAGGAACAATAAAGGTGTTCCTCTGTCAATCCAATCATAAAATGAGAGTTTTGCTACATAAGAGATTTTCAAGCCTGTTTCCTTGCAACATTAATGAATGCTCCTTCAACTTCAATATGTCCAGGGTTGCATTTGTGGAAAAATAAACAAAGCTCTCATTTTAAATTGAATGTAGCATACAGAATTTTGTGCCAGAGTTCATTTTGATTAACATCAATTTATAAACCAGACTAGTCCTGTTTGGAAGTGGGAATCACCAGCGGAAACCATGATTTGGATAATGAAGTGTCATTTAGTAGCTATCCACCCACAAAATAGGTGTGTGCTTTGTCCATGTTCTTGCCAAAGTTATTTAATACTTTTATAAACATGAATCCATTTATTAAAAAGTTGTAGATACAAACATAACTTTTAAAAAAGGATTTTTAAAAACGTTTTGGTGAGAGTCTATTCTCTTTGGAAAATGGCAGGTGAAAATTTTCAAAGAAACAAGTGTCAAGGTTAAGTCCTTGGAGGCAAGCTTTCTGATAACCGCCATTTATTGTAAGGCCTGAATAAGCTGGTTTGGCTATTAGACATAAAGTGAAGCTGATAATTTCAGACACCATGTGTTTCATTTTTTTGTTAGGAGTGAAACCCAACATCTTTTAATGCTACATTTAAGAAAATGGGGTGGTATCATCTGAATTTTCCATCGCAGTGTATTGAGCTATGCTTTGAATTAAATAATTTTGGCTGTTGGACTTTGCAAATCTAATTTGGTGATGTTCACTCTAGGCTCTGTTTGATGCCAACTTCATTTTCCGAGCTTCCCTAATACCCTCTGATGCAATGCAATTGCATTTTCACAATTCCTATGGTCATTATGTCTGCAAATTCTGGGAATTCCCAACACATCTACAGGACACCAAATTAAGGAGTTTTGTAGATTAAATTAAAAGTCCCATTTAAGGACTTACCTAGTGGCGATAAGAGCGGCGAAATGAAACTATTTCTCCGCTCTTATCACGTCTGCAGGTAACCGATCCGCCGCCCTGTTTAGGGTGTCCCGCTCCATCAGAGGGTATGGGACGCCCCTTTGCAGGGTCGGGCGGAGGAATTTGCGTGTTACCTGCATGACAAAATCGATCAGATCCGGACCGGGTTAGCCTTCGATTGGACTAGTTCAGACGGGCCAATGGAGGCAGGTCTTGAGTCCACTTTTTGGGAAGAGTTTGATCCTGTGACTCCCGAGGACATGGACAGGATGCTGGGACGGCTGAACACCACCACATGTCTACTGGACCCGTGTCCCTCCTGGCTGGTACTGGCCTCCCGGGAGGTTACACGAGGCTGGCTCCAGGGAATCGTCAACGCTTCTTTGAGTGAGGGGCTCTTGCCGGCCGCCTTGAAAGAGGCGGTGGTGAGGCCCCTCCTCAAGAAGCCTTCCCTGGACCCGGCTGTTTTGGTCAACTACCGTCCCGTCTCCAACCTTCGCTTTCTTGCGAAGGTTGTTGAGAGTGTTGTGGCACGACAGCTCCCTCAGCACCTGGAAGAAACTGTCTATCTAGACTCACACCAGTCCGGCTTCTGGCCTGGGCACAGCATGGAAACGGCATTGGTCGCGTTGGTTGATGATCTCTGGAGGGCTCGGGATAGAGGCTGTTCCTCTATCCTGGTCCTGTTAGACCTCTCAGCGGCTTTTGATACTATCGACCATGGTATCTTGTTGCACCTGTTAGGGGGGTTGGGATTGGGGGACACTGTTTTACGGTGGTTCTCCTACCTCTCGGACCAGTCGCAATTTGTGTTGGCAGGGGGGCAGAGGTCGACCTCGAGGCGCCTCACTTGTGGGGTACCACAGGGGTTGGTCCTCTCGCCTCTCCTGTTCAACATCTATATGAAGCCACTGGGTGAGATCATCCGTGGTTTCGGGGTGGAGTTTCATCAGTACGCAGATGACACCCAGCTGTACATCTCCAGCCCGGACCACCCCAACGATGCCGCGGAAGTGATGTCCCGGTGTCTGGAGGCCGTGCGAGTCTGGATGGGGAGGAACAGGCTTTGACTCAACCTGTCCAAGACCGAGTGGCTGTGGTTTCCGGCGTCACGACATAGCCAGTTGGCTCCATCTCTGGATATCGGGGGCGAGTCATTAGCCCCTGCGGAGAGGGCCCGCAACCTGGGCGTCCTCCTGGATGCTCGGCTGTCTTTAGACGATCATGTGACGGCCGTGGCCAGGGGGGCTTTTCATCAGGTTCGCCTGATACGCCAGTTGCGCCCCTTTCTGGATTGTGACGCTCTACGCACGGTCACTCAAGCCCTCGTTTCCCACCTGGACTATTGCAACGCTCTCTACATGGGGCTCCCCTTGAGGTGCACCTGGAGGCTCCAGCTAGTTCAGAATGCGGCCGCGTGGGGGATTTTGGGGGCCTCTAGATACTCCCATGTAACACCTCTCCTGCGCGAGCTGCACTGGCTGTCTGTGGCCTTCCGGGTGCGCTTCAAGGTGTTAGTAACAACCTTTAAAGCGCTCCATGGCAATGGACCTAGGTATTTGCAAGACCGCCTCCTACCAAATACGTCCCTTCGACCAGTCCGCTCCCACAGAGAGGGCCTCCTTAGGGTGCTGTCAGCCAGTCAATGCCGGCTGGCGACCCCCAGGGGGAGAGCCTTCTCTGTGGCAGCTCCTGCCCTCTGGAATGACCTACCCCCCGACCTACGTACAACTGCGGACCTGCGTCTCTTTCGCCGAGCCTTGAAAACCCATCTATTCCATGCGGCCGGCCTGGCGTAGTTTTAATTGTGTTTTGTAGGGTTTTTATAGGGGGTATTTTAGAGCAGGCTTTTTATTTAATATTTATTGTGATTTTTATTATTGCCTGTTCACCGCCCTGAGTCCCGTAAGGGAGATAGGGCGGTATATAAATTTAAATAATAAATAAATAAAATAAATAAATGAGCTAGCAGAAAACTTTAAAGCATTATAAATTCAAAGGTCTGATTTTCCACATTGAGTAGTTGCTGTGGGAAAGTATGTATTCTGTATCAGGAAGTGACTGGTCATAAGCTCAATTGTAGTCATCTGAGAACTACCTGTATTCTCAATCATTTATTTCAAAGTTATTAACAAGTCAATGGAACATAAAAGATCTACTGGTTGAAGCAGAAGGCCAGGCAAACCTTCTGTCACCTGGTAGCCTGCCAGAAACACTAACTGTCAATATTTTATTTGATATACATTATTATATAGTATATATTCACAGACTAACAGGATCAATAATGAAGAAAATGTTCCCCTAGCCTCCAAAGTTCCTTACAAGAGGTTTAGGACTAGTAAAAAGAAATGCTTTTCCCCACAATGTATAGCTACACTTTGGAATTCTCATATCCTCAGTATGTAGACTCTTACACAAGGGTGTGTGTATATTGTCTACATGGTGACTTTGATCTAGGATGCTATAAATTATGTCAATCATTCAAGGAATGAGTAACATTAAATACTTATTTTCTGTATCCTTTTTGGGGGGGGTCTTCTTTTCATAAATTGCAAGATATTATTATAAAAATCCACCATGCAAAAACATATTAAGATAGTCCTTGACTTACAACAGTTTATTTAGTGACCGTTCAAAGTTATAACATCAATGAAAAAAGTGACCTATGATCTTTTTCACCACTTAGAACCATTGTAACTTCTCCGTGGTCACATGATCAAAATTTAGACTCTTGGCAACTGACTCACGTTTATGACAGTTGCAGTGTCCCGGGGTCATGTGATCACCTTTAATGATCTTGTGACAAGCAAAATCAGTGGGGAAGCCAGATTCTTAACAACTGTATTACTAATTTAACAACTGTAGTGATTCACTTAACAGCTATGTCAATAAAGCCGTTAAATGAGGCAAAACTCACTTAACAAATGGCTCACTTAATAAGAAATTATTGGGGTTCAATTGTGGTTGTAAGTCGAGGACTACCTG